CTAGTGACTGTGAAAAATAATAACAAGAGCCAAGATTGTTGTCCTAGTTCCTTGAATATTAAAAGCTATGAAAACAGGGGAGCAGAAAAATATATTGGAAATGTTTAGCTTTTCTTTCTTTATATCCAGAATCGTTTTCTCAATCAACTTTACACTCCTATAAATGGCTGGCAAGAAAACCTCTGTTTAGAGATCCTGCAGAAAGGAGGCTATCCTGTCAAGAACATGGGGCATACAAATTTGTCCACAATTTGGAATTGGCTTCTCAGATCCAGCCCCTGGCAGATAGCCCAGTTCAGGAACCCCTGGTACAATGAGAACAACTTCAGCAATGGAGGAACTTTGAACAAAAATGTCCTACTCACAAATAGTGACAAGGTGCATATGAAAAAACACAAGGTGTTATTTTTTAAAATTTGGCTTGCCAGATTCAAAGCCAACTGTCTTGTTCTGAGGTTTACTTTCTTTTCCTCTAGATGGAAAACACTTCTTCAGAAAAATGGACCTTGTACATCTTTTCAAAAGGTTCTCTCAGTTTGCAAACACACATTTTTCCTTGGAAAAATGGGACCCTCTCCAAGAAGAGTTCTCGTCGTGTTCAGGCACTGGAGACTTCTAGAGAACAGGACAGGCCTTGGAAGGCCAAATCCAATGGCAGCTTCATTTATCATAATGGATTGCTGCTTCTCCCATCACATACAGGGACTTCGATACGATTATGGAAAAGGTGCTACCTTCGGGGGAATCCAGAAGTTCAGGTACAAAGAAATCCAATAGAAAAAAAAAGGCTCAGCTGAAATAATTACTTGCAAAATATAGTTTTGAACTGTAGATAATTGATGGAATCTGCATTTGTAAAAGCCTGTTCAACATCTCATCTTTTCTGCCTCAGTTCCAAACATTCCACAGTAATGGAAATTATTTTTCAAGTGGGCAGTGCTATTAATTTCCACATTGTTCCTAAATCTTTTTAGCCCATTCAATTGTACACCAAAAGCAATTAAAATCTCAACATGCAGTAAGGTCTCAAAGACCTTGCACAATCTTAAAGGAATGACAGGTCTGTGCTGCAGAAATCATTTGAGTTTAGTTCTCTTTTGGCACTTCCACACAGGGTCTGTGTGCCACCCCATGATCTGCTCCAGACATGTACGTTCTCATGCTGTCATCTGGCTCAACAGTTGAGTCAATGTATTCAGCCCTGATGTATATGGAACTTATTTATCAAAATTTACATGCTTTCTATTCTGCATTGGAGGTATGGTAAAAGTGACCTTTCCATGTGAAACGCTGAAGCTCTAAAGAGTTTGTGGGCAGACCATTTTCTCGTTGGTGGAAGCTCTTGCCTCATCCTAATTCCTGGCTCACAATGACATTTTTTAAGCAGCTCCCCCATAGGAACTGCTCTATTTATGAGTAACAACTGTCCCCCCAATAATGTTGGTGGGATACTATCATCTTTTCCTTTTGTGTTTGGCTGGAGTGAGGGGATGTTTGTAGAAGTCAAGGACAGGGCTGCCAACACATTTTGCAAACCACAGGCCCTACCAGTATCCTTAATTGTGGAAAATAAAGCTTGAAGAAGGAAGGGCAAAATAAGGAGTTTCTGCTGTTTACAGATGCCTTAGAAGGTCCTGATTAGAAACAGATTTTTTGCAGCAAAGTCTTCTGAGGGCAAATCAGGCATGCCGATGAGGTAACTACTTTATTTATGCCTCTTTCAACATGCCTCAGTTCAGTATGCTAGGAAGTAAACATGGTAATTTAACTTGCTAATTATTTATGACAGCTTTAAGCAATGCCGCAGAATGTTCCTAGAAGCTCAGCCAATGGGCATACTGCATGTCACACAAATTTAATGATTTCTTTTTAAAGGCCTGTTGGCTTCAACATGAGGAAGAATTTTGTGTCAAACAGCCAGTTCAATGTAACTATAGAGGGGAGACTTCTGGTGTTGCTACTGAAAATATTTAGTTTATTTACTTGGGCTTCTAGGCCACTTCAACTGTTTTGGTTTACAATGGCTCAAAAAATTATTTTCTGAATCGAAATATAGTAGGAACAATATAACCCTAACATTTTTAGCAATATGACAGAATATTGCAGTACTGTATTAGAATGTATGCAAGCAATTTTCTGAAAACTCCAAAACTGGAATATTTTTAAGTAGATTTTCTGTCTTACAATAGTTCAAACTGTAGAAATTTTAACTTTCTGATTGCAGCATCTGGAGGATAAAAGCACATTTCTAGAAACCTTTCTTATTAGATCCTCTCTACAGTGAGGAATTTGTCTCCTGTATTGTTGAAAGTACCTGGAGTATAAGTGTGAAAGATGATAAAAGGGTGGCATATATCCTTGACAGCTCTCAGAGCAGAGGTTACTATTTTCTAACCTGAGTTTTTAATATCAACGTATGTTTTCCTTCAGGTTGGCCTCTTTGCTTCCAACATTGTCAGTCTCACTGAAGAACTGGATCTTCTTCAAAAGCGGCTAACCTATTTGCAGGCAAGAGGAAGCTATAGCATAGCTCTGGAAAGCACATAAGGCTGCCAACAGCCCATTAAAAATAGAAAGAAAAGTTCAATTTTGCCCTCCCATTGATAATGGATGGGCTTCCTGAACATTCATGGCAAATGTGAGAGTCGGCTACTGCTGCTTCTTCATATGAGAGCACCTGTAACAAGCCAGGTTTTAGAAACTTCTTAAACGAGGTACTGTACTTTGTATATTCCCATGCATAGTTTTCTAAAAATAACATCCTTCCAAGCTAACTAATGTCCTTATGCTGCAGACAATGGCAGGCTATGTATCTATAACCCTGGCACGCAGAAAGAATTCAGCAGGCACTTTTGCTTCTTACTGCCTAACAGGTTACCTGTAAATGTGTTAATAACTGTCATCAGCATTAAATGCTGACTACATATTCAGTATACAGAAATCATCAACCCTGGATCCTCAAGCCCAGTGAGCATGATATGCTGACGAAGGGTGCTGGCATACAGAAATGTAACCCTTTTCTCTTCCCTCTCCAATATATCAGTTTTACTGTTTACTTCATTTGTTCAATGTGTACTCACCATCCAGAAGGCATTTAGCCTTATACAGGTAGTCCTTGAAGTACAACCATAATTGGGACCAGAATTTCCATTGCTAAGCAATGTGGTCATAAAGCAAGATGTCACGTGACCACATTGCTTAGTGACCGTAATCCCAGCAATTCCTCTTGCCATCATTAAGTGAATTCTGGGGCTGCTTACTACCCCACAAGGCAGGGTGCAGGGTAGCCAAAAGGGCATAGATGGGAGGGGGAAGAATGGCGGGTGCGTGGAGTTGAAGCACTCCTGCAGTCATAAGTGTGGGCGAGCTGCCAAGCGCCTGAATTTTGATCATGTGTCCACAGGGGTGCTGTAACAGCGGTAACTTTGGGCACAGGTCATAAGTCCCTTCGTTCAGCACTGTAATTTCAAACGGTCACTGAATGAATGGTCATAAGTCAAGAACTACCTGTAAAGGCAAAATTTGTTGCTGCCATTACAAGTTTGCTGTAACTTCAATTTTATGTTACTTCATAAGCTTTTGTTCAGAAACCTTAATAGCAAACAGGAAACTGTCAATTTTAAGCTAATGGCTTTTTAAATAAAACAAAAACCTCTGTAAACAGAATACACCCAAATTGTGGTCAGGCACATTACTGCATTTGATGAAGCGGGGATTGTTTTTCTTTATTACAATGCTACACAGACAGGCTGGCTTGCCACAACTGCAATAGACCTTTATGCAAATTCTCCTCTCTATATGTCAAACTGCAATCCAGGGTGTACAGGATTCACGCCTTAATTTTGTGCTCTCTGCATCTATTTTGTGTATGTGCTATATACACCTTCTACTATTTACTTTCTCTTTCTTCACAAAGAGACCAAAAAGAAAGGGCAATGCTGATTTCACCCACCTTAGGCCAAATCATGATTTGGCAGCTGAAATTCCCTTTCTTAGCCAGGTTTTAGAGCTCTTGTTATGCAGCAATTGCAGATCCTTCATTTTGTCTCTGCCAGTGGCTTCTCCTTGGCCAACTGGTACTGTACAAGCACATAAATGTGATAGCTGGAAAAAAAAAGTAAAGGCTAACTACCCATATTAGGGGCCTCCCACAGGACCACTTGGGGTCTAATAAACTCCTGTGCCAATTTAGCACGAAGCACGTGAGCAACCTGTCCCTCCCCAACAGGTCTGCATCAAGGTTTCAGTTTAACACTCTATTAAAAGTCTGTCCCGGCATCCTCCAGAGAACCTGCTGCCTCTGGGCAAGGGGCCCCCAAGTCGCCCCCAGGCCTCTTGCAGCCGCCTGCTTTTCTTCCCTTTGCTCAGCCAGGCCACCTGCAGGGCTTTGATGGCCGCTTTGCGCGACCCATTCCCCGAGTTCTCCATTACCCTGGGCCGGTGGGTCGGGGGTGCCCGCTTGCGATTGTGCCTTTAGAGAGCAGCACTCTGCACATGTTCAGAAGCACCTCCTGCTCTACCCAGGCCCCAACGTGTGGAAAGCAATTATTTTGCACTAGGGCAGCGGCGCCCAGGCCGGCGGAGGGAGCCTCAGCCCTACTTTCTTCCCTGCCTGGAGATCCCAAGGAGGTTGGGACGACGGCAGTGAAACCACAGGGCCCATCATTCCCAGTCGATAGCAGGAAGCTGGATTCCTGCTCTTCCCGGGCCTCGACCGCCTCACGAAGCCCAAACACGACGGGCTGACGGCCTGGCCAGAAGGAGCTCTGCTGCGCGACGGAGCGCCAAGAGTTGCCCTTCTACGCGGGGCGGAGGCGCCCCCAGAACTTCGGGTTACTCAGGTTTTTCCTCCATTTCTGCCTTCTTTAAAAGGGCAACAATTTTCGCCTCAGAAATTGGCGCGCGAAAGAACAAACAAAGCCTCTCGCGTGAGACACTCCTGCGCCTGCGCGGCGAAAGAAAAGAAGCGGGAGAGGGAGAAAGGGAGGGGTTTGGGAGAGCTTCGCTCTGATTGGACAAGCGCGGTTTCCATCTTCTTTCCGGAAGTAGCGTGTTCCACGAGGGTGAGCCCCGGAAGTGCTGGTTTCATGTCACGTTATTGCAGCCGAAGTGACGCACAGATACCGATGCGTTGTTGTGATATAGTACCGGGCGCTTCATAATTATTTTTTTTAAAACCGGAAGACTGGCTTCCGCGAGGGGATGATTGTGCGCGTGAGTTCCCCGGTAGCCCTCAAAGGGAGGCTGCTTTCAACGGCGAGGCGTCCGAGCCTCCGCCCGGGAGCAACATGGCCGGGACAGGCACGCGGCGCCCTCTCACGTAGTTTCCGGCCGGGAGCGGAAGTGCGAGTGAGAAGCGGGGAGTACCTGGATCGAGATGGCGGCGGGGCCCATCTCGGAGCGGAACCAAGGTAACGGCGCTGGGGCCAGCGTCGCGGGGTACGGCCGCTCCACAGGCA